TTAATTTTGTACAACAACAACAATGCCTCAATCTCAAACAAGTTGGTGTTGGCTAGATGAATCCTCATTGACCACGTTACTCCATTCTATAATAATATTATTCTAAACAATTTTCATAACTTCTAGTAGTTCAAGGCTATTCAAATTTACACTTCACTGTGAAATTTTTCCTTTCAAACAAACATTTCAGCCATTTACTTTGCAACATTTTCTCTTATTATCACTAATAATATAATACAAATCTCAAATTATAATCTTAAAACTCTGAATTAAAAAGTATTCAGAATCATAAGAAAACGAGAAGGAGACTTATTTTAGAGAACTTCAAATAAAAAGTAAGACGTTAATTTGATTTCGTTTTGAATATATTGATGCAGACCATTTAACAAACATATTCACCGAGTATGCCACAATTTCTAGAACACATAAATGCCAAATAAAGAGGGAGAGAGAGAGAGAGAGAGAGAAGATCACATACGAGACACTGAGCTTCCTCCAAGTCAAAAGAAGGACCAATGGAAGCAATTACAAACTGGGGCCGGATCGGCCTAGCTAAAACCTTGTCAACAGCCTCATCCACAGCACCCTGCACCAAAAATTCATTTTCAACCCAATAAACTCTTGTAATAAGCTAAACAAGATACTCCCATTGTCCCAAAATAGTTCTTTCAAGAAGTTTTCAACAAACTACAGTAACTTTTTATCAAATATTGTATTCGTTTCATCACTTCTCATCTTGTGTTGATTATCAAAGTTAAATTCTTAAAATATATACCTCTCTTCCAGTCCCAAAAAGAATGGCGAGGTTTGGAATACAAAGGTCAAATCATCTTACTTTTTGTGTGTATTCAAACATTTCTTCAATTTTTCAAAATAATTCTTTTTAAAAGACTCCTTCTTTCTTAAATTAGAACAGAGAGAGTAATTTTTATAGTTAGTACTCCATATGTACCCAATTTATTTGATAATCTTTTCTTCTTTCTTTTGCAATAGTATGTCTCAAAAGGAATGACATCATTCTAATCTTATAATAATATAACTTTAAACTTTACGTTTTTCCTTAAGAGGCGTCTCAATTTTATGTGACATACTTTCTTTTTTAGTTTGTCTAGAAAAGAATGCCATACTTATTTTTGATTGGTATTTTTTCAAAGAAATTGGACCATGGGCCTGCCGGCTGCCCCTCTAGCCTTCTCCTGCTTAAAAATTGGACACGGGACTGTGGCTGTCCGTCTAGCCTTCTCCACTTAGATATCATACGTTTTCATAGCAGAGTTTGAACATGTGACGTACGTCTAACCCACACACCACGCATTGCACTCTTACCACTAGATCAAAGCTCTGAGAGCTATGATACTTTCTTATTTAGAAACAATTTAACTTTAAATTTCTCATTTTACCCATAATAAGATGATTTATGCTCACACAAATACTTATGATTGTTTTAGTCCACAAGTTTCAAAAGTTTTCTTTCTTTTCTTCTAAAGCTCCATGTCCCGTCAAAGACTACCATATAAGATGGTGAGGAGGGTGTAATTCTTATAATTAATAGTTCTTTTGTTCCAATTTATGGAGCACATTTTCCTTGTTAGTCTGTCTTAAGAAAAGAATATACTTTTAAACTTACCATTTTCCCCCTTAATAAAATAAAATATCTGTAAGTTGTTTTAAACCACAAGTTTCAAAAGTTTGTCTTCCTTTCTTGTGCTTAGTATTGAGCATAGAAACCCATAGCACCTACTAATTGGGTGCACACCGGTTAAATTTTCTTCTTCACAATAGCTCGCAAATCACATAGGTTAGTCAAAAGCCCGATGTGACGAGCTCGATTGAGAAGGCATTGACAAGGGAATTGATCTCTCGAGTTTCGCTTCAGACTATGTATCATCTCATTAAAATACAACAGAAAGTTTAAAGTTAGATTATTTTAAAATATAAAAAGGTATCGACAAACTACAAAGGAAAATGTAACGCATAAATTAGGGCATTTAACAAGTTTCTACTTAGATCAACAAAATGGTTAAGCCAAAGGAAACAAAAAATTAGGATGAATCTTATACCTGAAGACAAGGATGGCAGGAAAGAGCAGATGAAAGATTTGGAAGAGTGAGAAGGCCATTAATGATGAGATTCCAACTACGGCACACACATGCTGCTGATGCACATGATTCTGCTGGTAACCGAGACAGAATGTTGTGCAGAAGGTCTTCTCCTATTACATCCATCGTCGCCGTCTCCGCCGCTGCCGCCGTCTCCGTCTCCATCGCCGTCAATTTCTGCCTTTGTTTGGCCGCCATTTTTCAAAAACTGAAAGACGCTTGAACTTCCTTTTTTATTATTTTTTAAAAAACTGATATTGCTAGAGCGGCCCTTGAACTTTGCACTATTCACCATTAGTTTAAACTTCTCTAGATAAGGCACGTGACTATATTAGAGACATATCTTAACTAAACTAAGATTATATTATTTTGATCTCATTTTTTTTGTAATTTTATACATATTTTGGTTTATGTGGCATACTGTAACTCCACGTAATTAAAGCACGTGAGAGATGTTTGGATGTTATGTAAGTCACAAAAAATATACAAAATTAAAAAAAAAAAAAATGGGTTCAGAGTAATAGGACCTTGTTTAGTTATTGTGTGTTTTTGAAATTTCGATCATAATCTAGGGAATACTTGCATCTTATCCCAACTTCTCTATAACAGTTTGGTTTGGATAAAACATTTTTGTATTCAAGCGACACATCACACATTCCTACTTAGTTGAGGTGTTATTTGGTTAGTAGTTTATATTAGAATGTTAAATTGACAAATGGGCTATATCAATAATATCGTTGTTTAATTTGGTACAAAATGATTGTTTTGAATTGGACGAGTTACATTTATGATCCATTTTTACATGCACATTTTATGTATATTTTGATATTATCTTTTGTGGAAATAAAAAATATTTCGTTTATCTTTCAACTTTGACTTGTTTTTATTGTTCTTTTGTATAGAATAAAGTTGGACCAATTGAAAATAGACATATTGTGTAATTTTCAGGTTATACATTATCACCATCGATGAATGAGATTTGTGAGGTATATTTTTAATCATGGTATAAGAACTTTGAGTTCATAAGTTTATATTATAAGTTTATCAATTCATTTGTAACTTCTTTTTTTAAATTTTTTTTTTGTTGAAATTCAAATTGTAGTTATAAAATTTAAATAACAATATATTAAAACTATTGAGATTAAGCGGGTCAAACTGAGCGGGTCAAGACCCCAACCCATTTTTAAGCCCAACCAATTTGAGTCCAAAATAAACTTGGGTGGGTAAAGACCCAACTCAATTTCTATTTTAACTCATTTTAATATTTTCAATTTCAAGTCAACTCACCCATTGACACCCCTCAGTTTAACTATAACACTAAAATTACATTCGCCCGAAGTCACGTGCCATTAACACTCACCAACATTTAATAATAAGGTTGTAAGTTGAATTAGGTATAAGTGATTTAGATAATGTAATCATATTATTTGACTAGTGAATAGTGTAGTTAAATTAAATGGTAGATTAGTGGTCTTTGAGTGTCAATAAAGAAATATATACTTACCATTTTACTTTAGATTCAAGTATGAAGATATTACAAGATCTTTGACTTTACTTGTGCATTAATGTAGATGGAGAATTGTCAATCTCCTCTTCTTTTTTTAAGATGGTAGTATCGGGTCAACTTGTGTACACCTGACTGATCCAATCCACCAAATACCTAGTGTTTCAGCAACAAAAATATTGTGTATGTGAAGTAATCAAAAATGTCTTACGACAAAGAAAGTGGAGATGCTCTTTGATTGTATGTGTTTGCTTGATCTTTGATTATCTAGATCTAAGACAAAATAACATTAAGTTACATTGTAGATGTTTGTTCTAGATATTATACTAATGATGTTCGAGTCAATTGTGCATACTCGACTATTCCACCAGTTGATACATGTTATCTCTTGTCAATACAATACGAGATATAACTTTGTCCACCAAGCAATGATAGTTGTACCGTAAGGCTACTTGAAGCTCAAACACCCATTATATTTTACCCAAACACTAATTTTTATATCGGAAACTAGTAATAACATACAAAAAATATTGATCGAGCACCTAACTTTAGAAAAGTAGCGATTCGAGTAGTCGTAGTTGAGCATTGAGGTCTGACATAGCTGTTAAGATTTAGTCTAATAAAAGGAAATCAACTAGTGTTATAATCTTTAACGAACCAAAATTTAAAGTCAGTGGATTTAGAATCAGCTTCAATTATCAATTTGTATAGAAAGGATAAATCATTGGGAAACACAAATAAGGAGGAACATTTTACTAAACATGCTGCAGAATTTGCAGTGTTGACTAGCAAAATAAATCAAAATCAGAAGTAAAGATGGACTAAGTTAAGTATCATTAATAAAGAAAATGTATAATGTATTAGACAGTATATAAACTAAATTAGACCTAGCTAGGACTAGTATTTTGCAGAGAAAATTAATATAATAACTTGTTAACATGTTGCAAAAAGATGATCTAATGAGAACAGAAAAACAATCATATGCATATGGACAAGTCAAAAGGGCAGATCCTACATGTGTGGGAATCTTGTTGTGATTTAGTAGACATACTCATGGGTAGAGAGTTTGAGTCGCGGAATAAACTATTGATGCTTATGTCAAGATAAGACTGCTTATGCTAGACATCTAGACCCCTTAGTTGCGGCCCTTCCTTGGAGCCTAGATAACAAGATACTTCGTGCCCTGAGTTGTCATTTCATATGGTATAGAACCTTATACGGGGTAAATCCCGGATAGTAAACCAATGAATCAAGATAAGTTGGCCAGTGAGTTTCGAATACATGATGGTTAAACAAGAAAAAAAGGCAGTGAACATGCCCAATGACATAAATGCCATGCCAGCAAAATTGGCAAAAAAGTATATGCAATGTACACAAAAGGCATTTCAACAAATCTATACAGGAATTAATGTTCATTTCATTTATTCTGAATCATGATGTACAACTCTAAGAACTTTCACAATTGGGACTAAATATGTATGTTTAATGAACCACAATAAGGTAAAAGTTACTGACTTTGATGACGAAAACGTAAGCTTTCATTGGCGACAGAATGATAATAGGCTCGAAGCAATCTTTTACGGAACCTTCCAAGATTCAACCTAACATTTTGTCGATCAAGGTAGATCTTTTTCGTGAATTCCCATCCTCTATCGTTCACGCTGTTAGGGTCAGTCAGGACGGGATCATTCTTGTCATATTCGTCATACAATGAGCTCTCTTTAGGAAGAATTTTGTATCCAATGTACTTGAGGCCTAGTTTCACTGCTGGTTCTCCGTAATAAGTACCTGCTGCCCAATCTGTTCCAAGTGGAATGATTTGGATGAAAACAGAACCAGGCCTCATGAAGAGGAAATGTGTCATGGCAGCACCATGAACTCCTATCATAACATCACTTGAATTAAGGACTCGGTAGATACTTGCGAGCTCTGTTGTTCGTTGTGGCCTCAAAACTTCCACGTGAAATCCAACATCTTCGATCAGTTTAACCAAAGAATCTTCGTTCATTATAGCTCTAGAATCATTTCTAGCTATTATAACCACTTTAGGTTTCTTCAAATCCTGTTTTTCTTCCATCGTCATCATCTTTGTCTCGGATGAGGGTAACGAAACATGTTTTTCCATGTTCATTCGAGCTTCACGTTTCTCATCTTGGATCAAACTTCTAATCCGAGGCCAATAAGCTCGGTCTAGAATATCTCTAAAGTCTCTAATGGTCTTATCATTACCCATCAATGAAGAATTAACAGTTAGCTCATCATGGATTCTTAAACCAACTATGGCTTCTGGGAAGCAATGAGTTCTCTTATCTCCACTAAAATCTATAATAGGATACTCGGTGAGGTGAGACAGGACGTTCTCGTACTTCATTATCCACCATGCATGGTACTCAAGGATTACAAACACAACCTTCTTGTTGAACTGCTGAGAAGTGATGTAAAGGGGCAAAAGTCCGTCATTGAACTCGTGGTAAAGATTACCGGTGTAACCTCCAGTAGAGAAAAACACAGCCGGCACATCATGTTTAACATCACACTTTTGATGAATCCTGGAATGCTCTCCCTTCACAACAAGGTCTAACTCATCGACGGTGTCCATCACATTTTTTTCCCATTTCCGAGTATATGGCCTAATCTTCTCATGCCGAAGCACCTCACCATTCTCATGACCATTGTTTCTGTAGAGGGTAATTCTAGAGGAAGCAGAATCCGTCCTAACATCGCCTTTCATCACGCATACATCGGAGCGGATACTGCTTCTTTCACAGCAAATTGACCCTGCAATTCAACCAAAGGATCTATCAAAAATTGGGAAGATAAAGAACCATGTTGACATATTTTACTGTTACACTAAAACCAAAAACCTTAACAAGCAAAAGTCTATAATACCAACACAAGAAACTCAATCAGCCCCTACTACAAACATTTATGGCATAATACATACGCGGACACTCAAATTTGGCCTTAATTGGCAAGTAAGCACTCCAACTTTGAGAGATAGGCACTTCAACTTGGTCTCAACTGACAACTGAACACTCTAGCTTGTCGGTGTCTAGATTTGCATACTCAAAGTCGGAGTGTTTAGTTGTGAATTGTGACCAAGTTAAAGTGTCTATCCATATATTATTCCACAACCATCACATGATCATAATACAAGATAAAATCCAAAAATAGACTTCATCCCCCACCCCACCCCAATATGTCACCATAGATGGATATAGGATCATTTTCAACAGAACATAAAAATAAGTAACAAGTAAAATAATTAGAACTAACCATTAGAGACAGAGGAACAAACATTAAAATCTGATTTAGAAATAAGCCCTCCTTCTTCAGAACTAAATGAATCTGCACACATGCAAAACAGAACAAAATCAGAAAAATTTGAAACCCCAAAAACCAAAAAGATAAGAAAAATAGAGAGCAGCTTACACAAGAGAGAAAATTTATGACGAGAAGTGAACAATTGTGGAGCTAGAAAAAAGCTAAAAGAGATTAAACAAAGAAAAAGAAGGTAAAAAAGTTTTGGTTTAGTTCTTTTGTGATTGTAACCAGAGTTTCCACACACTAAACCAATAGGGGTAGTTTCTTCATCTACACAAACCACAAAAACATCCCCTTTCCTATTCCAGTGCTGATATCTCTTATAATGCATCATTTTCTTGCACATACTATACACTAAAATAAAATGACAACAACTTTTTTTGTTTTTTCAAGACCAAAGAAGAAAACTTTTTATGTTATATGTTTGAAAGAAGAAAAGGGTGTTTGAATTTATTAAAAAGAAGGGGAAAGACAAGAGCTTTTTTAAAAAAAACTCAAGATTGAAAACACCAAAGAAGAGAACTTTCTATGCATACATGTTTGAAAGAAGAAAAAGGTAAAGACAAGAGCTTTTTTTAATTTATTTTTTCAAGAATGAAACACCAAAGAAGAGAACTTTTTTAAGTAATATATATGTTTGAAAGAAGAAAAGGGTGTTTTTGAAGAAGAAAGGGAAAGACAGAGCTTTTTTGTTCAAAGAATGAAGAGACCAAAGAAGAAAACTTTTTTCAATATACTATATTGTGGTATGCACTAAATTAGCACAAAATGAAAACAACAAAGAAGAGAAACTTTTTATGTACTGTATGTTTGAAATAAGAAAAAGGGTGTTTGTGGTTTGCTCAAAGAGAAGCTTTTTCTCAGGTTGAAGAAGAAGACTGAATGAGAAAGATGGTTTTTTTTTTTTTTTGGTATTTTCAAGAATGAACACTTTCAAGAAGAGAACCTTTTTTTTGTGTTTGTCAATATAGTTTTGCTTGATGGCAAGTTTTTCTGGGGTTGAAGGCTTGATAAAACCTCAAAAAGAGAGATTTTTGAAGGGTAGTAGGGTGGTGGATTTTGGGTAGGGGGTTGTGTGG